TCCCTCCCCCCCCCCCCCCAGCCTCGCCCCCCGAGAGCCCCAGCTCTGACAGCTCCCTTGCCCTCTCCTGCGGCAGCCCAGCTGCCAAGAGACCTGCCTAAATCACCTCTTGCTAATGCAGGATCTCAATCAGCTGCTCAAAGGGCATTTTACAAGGAAAAGCAATAACAACATCTATCTGTTACAGCTGGGGAAACTAAGGCACACAAAGAGGTGCCTGAGAGTCCATTGGAATTAGAGGCAGGACAAAGGCTGGGCTCCCTGAGCTCCCGGCGTACGTGTCCTTACACATCCGCAGCCCCCGGCGCCTCCCCACCCCCCAGGAACAGCTGATGCCATGTGCTGTTTGATAGAAAGCCAGCTAATCATCTTTCCCACCTTCGTTAGAGTGTGAATCATTATCCAAGCGACACCTGTAAAGCTCCTTGTCAGACGAGGCTGGTGCACACGTCTAATAATGGGCACCATATGGGAGAGGGAAGGCTCAGGAGAGGAGCAGGGGCCCAACCATCCCCGCACCGAACAAAGAGCGGCACCCGACAGCTTCCCATGGCAGCACAGCATCGCCAGCGGCAGCGTTGGGCCATTTGAAAGACCGGCAGCGCTGTGCCACGGCAAGGGAAGAGCCCAGGCAGCGCCAGCAGTGGAGGAAGAGCCACCGCTCCTGGTACCGAACATCTCGATAACTTCCCCAAGCAGCCCCTGCCCTTTGGAAAAGGACCTGACAACAGCAAACCACGGCTTGAGCGTGCAGGGTGAAGGCAGGAGAGCCATCGAGCACTGCTCCCCGCAGCGTGCCCAAAGCCTCGGTGCCCCAAATCCACCGAGGCACATCCCACCGTGCCTCGGAGCACCCGCTCGCCGCCAGCCGGGCAGAGGTCACCCGCGGGTGCGGACAAAGCCTCCCAGGACCTGCGGGTTATACGGTGACAGGGAGGACGCAGCGTGAATTAGAGACGGGTCCCTGCATTGGGGCTGATCCAGAGCCACCCAGACTCCCTCCCTGACCCCAAACCTGGGGGGCAGAGCTCAGCCCCTCTGCCAAGCCACCCCCCAACGAAAGCCCCCACCACCTTCAACCCTCTGCAATTACGAAGCTCCGTTTTCAGGCCCCCATTCATCGCCGGCAGCGTAATGAGCCTCCAGGCACCGTCAGTGGGGGCAAAGCAATTAAAATCGCTGGCATGGTGGCCGCGTGGGTGGCTCTGTTGTTCGCTGTTGTCGGCGCCCGTTTCGGGGCGAGCGGGCAACGCCAGGCCGGGCAGCGCGTAAAAGCACCGCGTCTCCCCGCAAGCGAACAATCGGCTCGTTCTTCACCGGGTTAAAAGAATAATAAAATAAAATAGAGAGGGGAATAAAGGCCCCAGTAAAACTGGGAGTCAAGTTTATTTACAAACTGAATATGAAGTGAAGGGCCTGGAACAAAGGTGTTATGTAAGGGACAGTCACTAAGGGGCTCTTTACCCACGCTAATTGCCACTTGCTCCGCGATATCCATTTATCTTGCAGCTGAAACAGCCTCCTCAGGCTCGCAGGTTCAAGCACTGCTTGTTTGCAACACTGCCTGGCACAATTAGGACGCAGGAGCAGCGGCCGATGCAGTCCCACCACCCAAATCCACTGGGAAACCTCGCACCTCCCC